CAGAAGGTCCTCAGGGTTCAGAAGGTCCTCAGGGTTCAGAAGGTCCTCAGGGTTCAGAAGTCTTGGTCCTCAGGGTTCAGAAGTCTCGGTCCTCAGGGTTCAGAAGTCTTGGTCCTCAGGGTTCAGAAGTCTCGGTCCTCAGGGTTCAGAAGTCTCGGTCCTCAGGGTTCAGAAGTCTCGGTCCTCAGGGTTCAGAAGTCTCGGTCCTCAGGGTTCAGAAGTCTCGGTCCTCAGGGTTCAGAAGTCTCGGTCCTCAGGGTTCAGAAGGTCCTCATGGCCTGACGTTTGTATTTGTTGTGTCTGTTTGAAGACGTGTCAGTGACAAGACCAAAGTATCATCTGCTAACACACAAGCTAACGGGTGAGCTAATAGACAAGCTAACAGACGAGCTAACAGGTGAGCTAACAGACGAGCTAACAGACAAGCTAACAGACAAGCTAACAGGTGAGCTGACAGACGAGCTAACAGGTGAGCTAACAGACGAGCCAACAGGTGAGCAGACAGACGAGCTAACAAGTGAGCTAAGAGACGAGCTAACAGGTGAGCTAACAGACGAGCTAACAGGTGAGCTAAGAGACGAGCTAACAGGTGAGCTAACAGACGAGCTAACAGGTGAGCTAACAGACAAGCTAACAGGTGAGCTGACAGGTTAGTTAAGAAGGGCACTACTTTACTTGTACAATATGTGTGTGTGTGTGTATCTGTGTGTGTCTGTGTGTGTGTGTGTGTATCTGCGTGTGCCTGTGTGTGTCTGTGTGTGAGTATCTGCGTGTGCCTGTGTGTGTCTGTGTGTGCGTGTGTATCTGTGTGTCTATTTGTGTATCCGTGTGAGTGAGTGTGCCTGTGTGTGTGTATCTGCGTGTGCCTGTGTGTGTGTGTGTGTGTGTGTGTGTGTGTGTGTGTGTGTGTATGACTTAGCAGAGGGGATGAACAGAGCTACTTTGTGTTTCTCTGAACACACATAACACACACATAACAGCAGTCATATGACAGGAGGAGGGGGAGGGCGAGGGAAGTGAAAATAAGAGCATTTAAAATCCTCTCTATGTCTAAGGCGTCTGTCTGAAATAAGACATTTGTGCTGTTGTCTGTTTTACGGTTAAAAGCTCAGTGTTCTGTGTAATTGGATTTATGGATGGTCCTGTGGCCTTTAACATTAGATCTCAGTCCACAGTCTGAGGTCTTAACCTTAGATCTCAGTCCAAAGTCTGAGGTCTGAGGTCTTTATCTTAGATCTCAGTCCACAGTCTGAGGTCTAAAACTAGAGAGAGGACCGTGACAAACCGGGAGAAACCACTTCTAAAGACTAAGTTGAAAGACGAGTGTCAGACTGTAGAAGGAACACACTTGTCTCCTATTGGAGCAGATGTGTTCTGCTGATCTCGCGTTGACAAAACACACTTATATTTTTGATTAAAACATCAAGTAACACACGTTTTTGACCTTTATCAAATATCACCTGGGTCTGTTTTTGGAATGTCTTACATTACAGTCTTGACAACTTTGTAACATGGTTCTGGCAACACAAACATGTGTGTAACACAGTACTGGCAACACAAACATGTGTGTAACATGGTTCTGGCAACACAAACATGTGTGTGTGTTTGTGTGTGTCGCACAGAGACACACCACACACGTACGCACACAACCGTTTACACTGTATAAGTATATACAACAGGCATGTCTAAACTCTGGCCCGTGGGCCGATTGTTGTCCTTTGTGTCATTTTATGTGGCCCTTTGCTAACACAAAGTCGCCATTGAGCCACTTTGACAGTGTCATCCAACCAACTTCAGCTCCACCAATACAGTCATGCTAAACCTTGTGGTAAATCTCAGACCCTCTGGAAGCCAGTGTTATTTACTGACATTTGTTTTATGATTGTGTCACAACATTCCACATAAATGTAGCAGTGAATCAATAAGGACGTAAAAAACACATTTCTATTTCCAGAATCCAGTCAGTCCAGCTTGAATCCAGTTTTTAAATCCAGGTTGTCGGCCCCAGGTTGGGTCTGATGAACTGATATACAGTATGGTTGCTTGGTGTGGGTCAGGATCATTGTTATTAATTTATAATATGTTTTATTTATTTCATACAAAGTTCCAGGTCTAAAACAGTGTGGATGTAACCGCAACATATATCATGTTCACCCGCAAGCAGCGTTTTTGTCTAATTGTAAATTTCTCCAGTGTGAGATCAATAAAGTCTATCTAATCTTATCATATATCTTATGAACCAGTCAAGATGTTGAAGCTACAGCTCGCCGCTGGCACATTGGCCGTCATGGTCATCTTCTCACGGGCCCTATTTAGCACTGGCAGAAGCATACAGCTTCTGCTACAGAGGCGATAGTAGCTCAGTTGGTAGAGCATTGGCCTTTGAGCCTGAAGGTCGTGGGTTCGAGCCCACCTCAAGACCTACTTCACGACTCCCACTGATGTCTGCTGTCGTTGTGTCCTTGGGCAAGACACTTAACCCCACTTTGCCTGAAGCCCCCACTGAAAGATCTCAGCTCCTGTGGACTCACCACCTGCAGGAGGATCAGTGAGGGGCTGGTGCTCTGTGACTGGGTGCAGCTCTGACTGCCACCCTCCCGACCCAGAAATGGATTAAGGGGAAGAAAATGGATGGATGGATAGAAGCATACAGCAGGCATTCTTCAACCGCTGGCACTGGCTGGTGCCCTCACATGGACCCTAACCTTTTGGGGAAAGCCCGGTCTCATCCGCCCGGATGATATCAACCCAACGTTAGAGGGTACATCCCTTTCTGAGAAGGTTCAGAGCCATAGACTGTATATATTAAAGTACAGAGTCACGCCTATCTCTGCCGTTCTAACTAATGGGCCAAAAACTGTGCTCTACTGGATTCAGATTCAGATTCAGATTCAGATTCATTTTATTAGCCATGTACAGTATAAAAACTACATTGGAATACATTTGCAAAAAAAAAAGGTACTCTGTGTGCACCGACAGAATAAAAAGCACGATACAATGTAATATAAAAGAATAAAAAAAACATCTGACACTGTGGCACCGATCAACAAAAAGATATAAGGGGTAAAAGCAGGAATTAAAGTGCTCTGTTTAGGCACCTAACAGCCTGTGGAAAGAAGCTGTTAGCATAGCGAGATGTCTTGCATCTCAGCGAGCAATCCAAAATGGCCGCGAGTGGTCCCGCCCACAAGAAAATTGTGAAAAAACGCATCTGCGCATGCGTCAGCCGGCGAGAGCTCCATTCATTTGAACGAGAGACTTGAAAAATTCTCAGCAAGTAAACTAGAGTGGTCTAAAAAAATTCACCCCCCTCAGCATTGACACACATGTGGAACGGAGCTTTGGGCCAAGAGCCAACTTTTGGACCATCCTGTAAAGACGTTTTCGAGAGGTCTGCCAATGCTATTTGTTAGCATTGGCTAATTCTTCTTCTGGGTCCACCCCCATCGGCCCGGGGTGGTATTGCAAGCCTGTCAGCGCACGTCATTTTGGCCACTTTTGAGCCAAAACCCGCCCCCACTGTTCAGAACAGAGGCCTGGGTGAAGAGCTGCTCTGCCACAACCTCAGAGTTCCCATCTGTTCAGTACCAGTGGGGGCGGGTTCTGGCTCAAAAGTGGCCAAAATGACGTGCGCTGACATGCTTGCAATACCAACCCGGGCCGATGGGGCTGTGAAATGTTGAAGTCACTCGTTTAAATGAATGGGGCTCGTGCAGCTGACGCATGCGCAGATTCGTTTTTTTTTCACATTTTCCAGCACCCGCGGCCATTTTGAAACTGCCCATATACCGAGGAAGTTGTGGCACATTGGTCAGAACGGCGGAGATAGGCGTGACTACGTCCATCAATATTTGAAGTCTTTGGTTCAGTTAGTAGGTTAAAAAAAGAAAGAAACAATAATATATGAAAAATAATAATGTATACATGTGTGTATGTTGGTAGTTGTGTTTTATGTATGTGTATACAGATATGTGTGTATGTATACATTTATTGCATATATGTGTGTGTATGCATGTATACTGTAGATGCGTGTGTACCTATATACACATATACACACACACATATGCGTTCCTGTGTATATGTACAGGTAGACGGTTCCTCATCAAGTGTTAAATGTGTGTCAAAAGGTGTGCCCCAGGGATCCATCTTAGGACCACTCCTGTTTTGTTTTTTTAACAACAGTGCTGACAAATTTGTTTCAAATGCTAAATGTCATTTTGATACAGATGACACCGTCCTTTACTGCACTGGAATTACACCTTCTGATGCAAGTGGCTTTTAATTTTTACAACTTGTTCTGAATGCAGAGAAAACCAAAATCATGTTGTTCTCAAACAGCAAAAGCCAAATAAGCTCACCTCTTCACCACATTAGGTGATGGGTATTGGGTGTTGAGCGGGCCTTTTAATTAATGAGTGCAGCACATATTCAGCGGTTGGCAAGAAAACTAAAAATGAAATTGGGATAACTTGGTAAATCTTGCTTATCTTTCCAGCAAGGAGGAAGCTTGTTTCTGATACTTTTTGTCTGTATGGAGATGTGTTATATATGCATGCCTCAACACAGGCCATACATACATTGGACATTGTGTACCACAGAGCTCTTAGATTTGTGAGCAACCTAAAATTTTTGACTCATCATTGTGTGCTGTATGAGAGAGTTGGTTGGAGCTCTTTGTCGTTGTGCAGACTGAAGCATTGGCACCTTATCATCTATGAGGTGCCAATGCTTCACCTTATAGATATTAGGTCTACTCCCTCAGTATCTGGCGAACTACCCAGTACCCAAGAGTGCTGGAGCCCATAACCTGAGGTCTCACCCTATGGACCAATACCTATGAATTCTCTATTATTTGTGTTTGAACTGTTTGATTCTCTGATCTGTGTTTACGATTTCAACTGCTTTGTTAAGTCCTCAGAGATAACTGCTGTTGATGCGATTCAGGGCGATACAAGAATACATTAAATTGAAAACTGAACATGTTTCTGTGTCGTTGGCAGACCTCCACACGCCTGGGAGACCACCACACGCCTGGGAGACCTCCACACGCCGGGGAGACTGCCACACGCCTGGGAGACTGCCACACGCCTGGGAGACTGCCCCGCGCCCGGGAGATTGAGGAAACGCCATATATGACGTATCGAGCTGTGGTCACCATGTGGGAGGTGCCCTATTTGGCGTTCAAAGCCAGAGTCTGAAGACAGGCCCCTGGAGAGCAGGCTATGTCCCCTGCTCCTCTGGCCTCCATCAGGAGTCCCATCGAGAGCCTCATCAGGAGTCCTATCAGAAGTCCCTTCAGGAGTCCCACCCAAAGTCCTATCAGGAGTCCCAACATCAGGGGCAGGTCCTGTGTGGGCCCCCAGCCCGACCCCTGAGGCACCATGTGCTCCTTCCACTGACCTGTTTGTTTCTCTCACTTGAAAACACATCGTTTGCAATATTTGCTTTTGGAATCATCCTGTGTCAGAGCAGCACGTGTCACCTGATACTGACCTGGTACTGACCTGGTACGGACCTGGTACTGACCTGGTACGAACCTGGTACTCACCTGGTACTCACCTGGTGTGGCCTGGTACTGACCAGGACCATGGGGTGTCGTCAGAGCTCCGAGGAGAAGGAAGCCGCTCGCCGCTCACGGCGTATTGACCGCCACCTGCGCTCCGAGAGCCAGCGGCAGCGGCGAGAGATCAAGCTGCTGCTGCTGGGCACCAGTAACTCTGGGAAGAGTACCATCGTCAAACAGATGAAGATCATCCACAGCGGAGGCTTTAACCTGGACGCCTGTAAGGAGTACCGGCCCCTGATCCTCTACAATGCTATTGACTCTCTGACCCGCATCATCCGTGCTCTGACTACTCTCAAAATAGACTTCCATAACGCGGACCGCGCCTATGATGCCGTACAGCTGTTTGCTCTGACCGGACCCGCCGAGAGCAAAGGCGAGATCACGCCGGAGCTGCAGGGGGTCATGAAGCGGCTTTGGGCGGACTCTGGCGTTCAGGAGTGCTTCCAACGCTCCAACGAGTACCATTTGGAGGACAACACGGCCTACTACCTGAACGACCTGGACCGGATCTCTGCGCTGGACTTCATTCCCACAGTGGAGGACATCTTGCGCTCCCGCGACATGACTACGGGAATTGTGGAGAACAAGTTCACCTTCAAGGAGCTGACCTTCAAGATGGTGGACGTGGGTGGACAGCGCTCGGAGCGGAAGAAGTGGATCCACTGTTTTGAAGGCGTCACAGCGATCATCTTCTGTGTCGAACTCAGCGGCTACGACCTCAAACTGTACGAGGACAACCAGACGGTGAGACTCTATATAGACTCTATGTACTGTGTCATAATGATGCTGGTCCTCTCCTGTCTTTCTTCTAGTGTTATGCCCACACACGACCCATTGGACCATAGAGAGCAGGATGTTTCTGATCAGAAATTTGTATAATTGTCCTGGGTCATCACAGACCTTAGATCCTCCTGCAGGACTGGGGCTGTAGCTCCAGGACTGAGGCTGTAGATCCAGGACTGAGACTATAGACCCAGGACTGAGATTGTAGTTCAAGGACTGAGGCTGTAAGTAAGTAAGTAATTAAGTAATCTTTTTTTATATACCACCTTTCACAGACCAGAGTCGCAAAGTGGTTTACAATTGTGGGCATTTGTCTCTCACTCCACACAGAGATGGGAGCGGGGTCACGAGTACAAGAGGCGCATGCCAGACCTAATGTACAGGTTTTTAGTGGTAGGGGAAACCGGAGTACCCGGAGGAAACCTGCACAGAAATGGGGATAACATGCAAACTCCACTAAGAAAGGCCCTGTTCTGACCGGGATTGGAACCAAGGACCTTCTTGCTGAGAAGCGAGAGAGCTTTCCACTCAGCCACCGTGCTGTAGATCCAGGACTGAGGCTGTAGATCCAGGACTAAGCTGTAGATCCAGGACTGAGCTGTAGATCCAGAACTGAGGCTGTAGATCCAGAACTGAGGCTGTAGATCCAGGACTGAGCTGTAGATCCAGGACTGAGACTGTAGATCCAGGACTGAGGCTGTAGATCCAGGACTGAGGCTGTAGATCCAGGACTGAGCTGTAGATCCAGCCTCTGTTTGGAGTTATCTGACAGCGTCGCTTTGTTAAACATCGTATAATACCTTCTGAACCTGAACCTTCTAACCATGATCCATCCTGAGGTGATGTCACATCTCACTGAAGACACAGAATACTATAACAACTACAGTCCAATATTCCCCTGTGTATTTTCCTTGTCCCATCCCTGTCTTCATGAACCGTTGCCATGGATACTGTTCCTTAGCAACAGGCCAATACTCCTAATCCAGAGCTGTCTGTGTGTGTGTGTGTGTGTGTGTGTGTGTAAGTGTGTCTGTGTCTGAGAGTGTGTGTGTTTAGTGTGTGTCTGTGAGTGTGTGTGTGTTTGTGTTTAGTGTGTGTCTGTGTGTCTCTCTCTGTGTGTGTGTGTGTTTAAAGCCTCAGTCCTTTTCTTATGAATAGAACAGTAAGACTTCATCTCTTGAACTTAAGGAGCCTAGGGTCAGTGGTCAGGGTCAGAGTCAGGGTCAGGGTCAATCCAACCTAAATCCTGAGAGATGAAAAGAGCATTTGTTATTTACTAAGACTTTAACTGTTTTAAATCAGAGTTTGTCCTGAGCTCTTCCTGGAACAATCCACAGAGAGAACGAAAGAAACAAATTAAAGCATAGAAATCATAGTTTAAGGTGCGGATTCTAAAGTTAAGATTCTAAATCTCAGGTTCTAAAGCTCAGGTTCTAAAGCTCCGGTTCTAAATCTCCGGTTCTAAATCTCAGGTTCTAAAGCTCAGGTTCTAAAGCTCAGGTTCTAAATCTCCGGTTCTAAATCTCAGGTTCTAAAGCTCAGGTTCTAAAGCTCAGGTTCTAAAGCTCAGGTGTTCTCTCTGAGTGTTTTAGTAGGTGTTCTCTCTGAGTGTTTTGTAGGTGTTCTCTCTGAGTGTTTTTGCAGGTGTTCTCTTTGAGCGTTTTTGCATGTGTTCTCTCTGAGTGTTTTAGCAGGTGTTCTCTCTGAGTGTTTTTGTAGGTGTTCTCTATGAGCGTTTTTGCATGTGTTCTCTGTGAGTGTTTTAGCAGGTGTTCTCTCTGAGTATTTTTGCATGTGTTCTCTTTGAGTGTTTTTGCATGTGTTCTCTCTGAGTGTTTTAGCAGGTGTTCTCTCTGAGTGTTTTTGTAGGTGTTCTCTCTGAGCGTTTTTGCATGTGTTCTCTGTGAGTGTTTTAGCAGGTGTTCTCTCTGAGTGTTGTTGCAGGTGTTCTCTCTGAGTGTTTTGTAGGTGTTCTCTCTGAGTGTTTTGTAGGTGTTCTCTCTGAGTGTTTTGTAGGTATTCTCTCTGAGTGTTTTGTAGGTGTTCTCTTGGAGCAGGGAGAGTGTTGTGCATGTCTTCCTGTATCTTTTAAATATCAATCTAACAATGTGGGCAATAACGCCAGCAGTATGTCCCGCCCCTTTCCCTGAGATGCAATCTGATTGGCCCTCTCCTGACATCTCATTAATCAATCTGGGTTGACTCTGAATTCAGTATCACAGCAAGCTCTAAGCTACGGAAGAATCTGTAGCTTTATCTCTGTGTTCTATCATCACATGAGACTCACACACACTGTCATTCAGAGAGGAGGAAGAATCAGGGAAGAGGAGAACAGGGTCAAGAAGGAGGAGACAGGGTCAGGAAGGAGGAGACAAGGTCAGGAAGGAGGAGACAAGGTTAGGAGTAGAGACAAGCCCCGGCGATCCAAGATGGCGCCCTATTCAAATGAATGGTTGTGCTCTTTGTGACGGCATGGGGGCTGAAAAGATTAGCGGAAGTTGCCTGAAACTCGCAAAGAACTTTGGGAAACTCGCAAAGATCTATGGGAAACTCGCCTGTATTTGGGCATCGTGGAGAGGTTAGGAAGGAGGAGACAGGCTTAGGAAGAAGGAGACAGAGTTAGGAAGGAGGAGACAAGTTTAGGATAGAGGAGAGACGGTCAGGAAGGAGCAAACAGGGTTAGAAAGCAGCAGAGATGTTTAGGAAGGAGGAGACAGCACTGTAAAAAAGACTGTAAATTTAAGATAAAATTGTTGTAAAAATTCAACATAATATTAATGTTAGTTTGAGAACTATAATTGTATTTTAAAGTCACAATACAAATATTATGATCTAAGAAACCAAAGATTTTGGTTGAAATTACATTAATGATATGTGATTATGATCAAAAACAACAAATTCAATTCAATTCAATTCAATATATTCTTGTTTTGCCCTAAATCACAACTGAGATCCAGGTCCTAAGCTACAGAACGAGGACCATCGCCACACAGACTGTAGAAGGCTGTAGAACGAGGACAGGTGCGGTGTAGGACTGAAGCAGGGCAGTCCGCAGGTATAGATGACAAAAGGATAACAGGTGAATAGCAATGAACAGACTACAGTCAAAATCCTAATAATGCAGACAGATAAAGAAGGAAGGAGGAGAGGATAGTTGTTGTAGTGATAAAGAACTTGCGTCTCCAGTGAAGGACACAGAAACTTGAAATTGTCTCAAATAAGCCATACATACTTGTTTTCCAGTTGCTCAGTCAGAGAGTATTGGGCTGTAGGCCTATAAGTTGTGAGTACGATCCCCAAATGTAACCTTTTTCCAAGATTTTACATTTATCCAGAACACCACTGTACCACTTCATATTTGAGAGACCAACCTTCATCATTTAGGCAGCTCAAAAACTTAACTGGGCCAGGTTACATAGCAGTTTGTTGGTGTAGCCTTCTTAATCGTGGTTGGTGCAAATAGATAAAGTGGCTTATAATTAATTTGGTCTAATGAGTTTAATCTGAATGTTACCTGACATCACACTTGAAACACAAATAAATGTAAATGAATAAATGTTTAATCATTCTAACAGTTAGAAGAACAACAAACGAGTGCAGCCACAAAACTGCAAATGTGCAAATGTCAACAACAAACTACATTCAACACAACCTGCTTCAACGACACAGATGTAAAAAGTCTCTCGTCTGTTGCCGATGATGCTCCTTTTTGTTAATGCTGCGATCATGACGCTGCAAACACAAAGGCTCATGGGCGATCAAGTTTATGTGAACCATGAGTGAGGCGTGTATCCCATACATGACTTAAATAGTTGACAACAACATCAGTTTTTTGTAACTGTGTCTCAGCGACAGAAGTCTCTGGATTAATCCACCGTGTGTTGGCGCCGCCCACGTCACAAATGCTGCACTGATGTTTGCTGCAGGAGAAACATTAAGTGGCTGGTAACATAAGTTGCCAGAATTTTTTCGTAAAATCAACAGATTTTTTTGCACAGTTTAGGTTCATATAGTCAGTAACTTTCACCATTTTCCAATGCAAAATATACAGTACATGTCCATCCATCCATCCATTTTCTACCCTTTAAACCATTTCTAGGTCAAGTCTCATAGCACCAGCCCCTCACTGACCCTCTGCAGGTGGTGAGTCCACAGGAGGACGGCTGCTCTCTGAGTGTGAGCATAGCCTTGATCTTTCAGTGGGGGCTTTGGACAAAGTGGGGTTAAGTGTCTTGCCCAAGGACACAACGACAGCAGTCATCAGTGGGAGTCGATGGAGAAGGTGCAGAGGTGGGAATTGAACCCACAACCTTCTGGCCTTAAGGCCAATGCTCTACCAACTGAGCTACTGTCGCCAACTGAGTACATGTGATAGATGTAAAACATACTGAAATAATATTTCAAATACAAGATGGTAATGTTAAACAACATTTTGTTGGCTTAACAGATTATTTATGTGATTTTGCTGTGATTGCAATTAATGTAAATGTATTTACGTATATTTCCCGTCATTTGCTTTACCGTGCAACCCTATTTTATACAGACATTTTCTGGAAACAAAAGTTGGCAGAATTGTACCGGAAAATTGAGAGATTTTTTTTTACAATGAGGGTCAGGAAGAAGAGAGAGGGTCTGGAAAGAGGAGAGAGGATTAGGAAGGATGAGACAAGGTTAGAGGGAGAGAGGGTTACGAAGAAGGAGAGAGTGAGATGAAAAAGGATTGAATATCAGGAAGTAGGAGAGATGATTGGGAAGGAAGAGACAAGGTTAGAAGGAGAGGGTTAGGAAGAAGGAGAGAGTAAGAGGAAAGAGAAGAGAAGGATAGGAAGGAAGAGAGAGGGTCAGGAAGGAGGAGAAACATGGCTTGCTCCTGTTTTTGAGCCAATCATTTGTTTAAACACACACAGGCAAACACACAGACACACACACATAGACAGGCAAACACACACACACACACACACACACACACACATAGACAGGCAAACACACACACACACACACACATAGACAGGCAAACACACACACACACACACACACACACACACACATAGACAGGCAAACACACACACACACATACACATAGACAGACAAAGAGTTCAGAGTCTGTTGACAAAACACAAACTGATCCTTTTTCTCGTGAGCTTCTTTACTCACTACAACCCCATGCCCTGACACAGTAGACCAGCTAACCCTGACCTCTGACCTCTGACCTGTGTGTGTTGCAGAGCCGAATGGCAGAGAGCCTGCGTCTGTTCGACTCCATCTGCAACAACAACTGGTTCACCAACACGTCTCTGATTCTGTTCCTCAACAAGAAGGACCTTCTGGCGGAGAAGATCAAACGCATCCCTCTGACCGTGTGCTTCCCCGAGTTCAAAGGTCAGAACACCTACGAGGAGGCGGCGGTCTACGTGCAGCGCCAGTTCGAGGACTTGAACCGCAACAAAGAAACAAAAGAGATCTACTCCCACTTCACCTGCGCCACCGACACCAGCAACATCCAGTTTGTGTTCGACGCCGTCACCGACGTCATCATCCAGAACAACCTCAAGTACATCGGCCTGTGCTAGGACTGACCTCTGACCCCTGACTCTGACCTCTGACCTCTGACCCCTGACTCTGACCCCTGACTCTTATTCTGACCCTTGACTCTGACTCTGACCCCTGACCTCTGACCCCTGAACCTCACGCGGACACAAACCTCTGAAGCTGCAGGACACTCCTTTAAGAGACTGTAGTTCTTCGACGGATGCGACTGTACAAGGTCAAAGCACTGAACAAGTCTGCCCCTATTTGTTTGCACTGATAAAGAGTATGCAGAGACACACACACACACACACACACACACACACACATAGACACAGACACACACACACACTTACACAAAACAATCTCCCCACTGACACACACACACATACACACGCACACACACACACATAGACACAGACACACACACACACTTACACAAAACAATCTCCCCACTGACACACACACACACACACACACAACCCTTTTTTCCGTTTACTCTCACATATATTTGACAGTTACTTCTGTACGTGGCCACATTGGAATTGTTAGACACCTGTCTGTTGTGGGTAAACTTCAAACTGGTCTCTCCAGTTTTTCTCTCTCTGATATCTCTTTCTGGTCTATCTTTGGTCTCTCTCTCTCTCTAGTCTCTCTTTTAGTTTCTTTCTGGTCTCTCTCTCGTCTCTCTCTGTTCTATTTCTGGTCTCCCTCTGGTCTCTCTCTCTGGTCTGTCTCTGGTCTGTCTCTGGTCTCGCTCTGCATGGTCTCCCTCCGTCCTCTGGTCTCTCTCTGGTCTCTCTCTGGTCTCTCTATGGTCTCTCTCTGGTCTCTCTCTGGTCTCTCTCTGGTCTCCCTCTGGTCTCCCTCTGGTCTCCCTCTGGTCTCCCTCTGGTCGCTCTCTGGTCTCTCTCTGGTCTCTCTCTGGTCTCTCTCTGGTCTCCCTCTGGTCTCCCTCTGGTCTCTTATGTTGCTAGCCTGAGTCAATTAATGCTGCATTAAAGTCAAAGATTCTGTTCAGAATCCCCCTGGTCAGCAGTGAGGGCCCCTGATGTTAGGCCCCTGATGAGAGGCCCCTGATGAGAGGAGGTGTATGTCTGAACTGATGATGTCACAGGTTCTGCCTGAAAGAAGAAACTGCCACATTTAACATTTGAACCAAGAGAAACTTGTCTGCTTTCAGTTCTTTCTCTTGTTTTCCTGACGCTGTTCCACAACTGGAGGTGAAAGTATCAAACCTTTGTCCAGAGACAAACTGTGCCAAGATCCCACTGTAAATAAACACACAACCTTTTGACTTTGAAACATGCATGGTTTTCTTACATTCAGATACTAATATATTTTGTTTTCCTTTCATTTATTTTTTCTTAGTTAAATAATATATTCCCAAAAATCTATATAAAAGTCAATCACTGTGTACGATTGTACATGTCCGAGAGGAATCTATCAAACAGAGATTTATGGAAATCTATGAAAATAAATAAATAATATTAATATTATTCTAATGATGATGAAGAAGAGGAAGGACACCGCCCGAGTGTTGTAACAGGAGAAGGCGACTGTAGAAGAAGAACCTCCACACTGAGGGTCCATGTACATAGTGTGAGCGACACATAAACAAATATGGCGTGCACTTTGGTGGAGACGGAGCATGTTCTCTGTGTTAAGGGCTCACGGCTTATTTTACAGGAAGACCAACAACAACAGCAGCGATTCAAGTGATTCAAAAGGACATTAACCAAGAATAAAATAACTTATGCAAATTTCTATTGTGTTGTACGGTTTGGAGTGCTGTGTCCAGTGTGATATAAACTCTGCTTGTTTCATTTGAATGTGTGAGAGTGGTTCTTGTCTGGAAGCATCACCAAACCTTTCTTCATTAAAGTTCAAGCAGATTGAGCCCTGATTGGTCCAGAGTCCTGTTCAGGGGGAGGAGTCAGAGACAGAGCTGCGACCCCTTGGACCTGGTCACTAAGCCGCTGTCACCAAAGACCAAAAGAAAGTGTTGTTTTGAGCAGGTCTAACGGTCAGAGGACTGCAGCCGCCGCAGAGATGAGACATTCTTTCAGATTTACACTGCCACAAGTATATTTTGTTTGGAAAAGAACACGGTGTCCAAACCCATTCTGTTCCAGCGTCCGAGACCGCGGCATAATAAGTGTTTGTCCTCAGCTTCTGGGGCAGCAGTAATGTGTGATGTGGACAATGTATGGCCAGATTCCTCTCTAATGGGTTTAGAGCCCACCCTCCTCCTGGGTCTAAACCCCGGATGACCCTCATGATTACCCTCATGATCACCCTCATGATCCACTGACAGCAACGGTTCAGTGTTGTGTTTAGAAACTTCTTTAAATCAATGATTGGAGTCACAGGAGATTCACAGAAATATAATCCTGTTTTGGAGACAGTTTAGTCCTGTGACCGTCATGTGATCAGGGGCGCTGTCAACGACCGCAACATGCACCAAAACTAACCCAGACCCTGATCCTGACCCCTGACCCCTGATCCTGACCCTGACCCTGACCCTGACCCTGATCCTGACCCTGACCCTGACCCCTGACCCTGACCCTGATCCTGATCCTGACCCTGACCCTGACCCTGACCCTGACCCCTGATCCTGACCCCTGACCTTAACCCCTGACCTTTACTCCTGACCCTGACCTTCTGTTATTGACTGTGAATCAGCAGAAGACTTCCGCTTAGCTAACAGGCTTCATGTTAAAGTTGCAAACCTTAAGAGTTCTATATCCACAGAGAAAAACAATCATCATTCAGGCAACTTCAGCTCCAACTTCAGCTTTACTAAATGTAAAGAGATGTTTTAATGTGCAATACAACATGTATTGTACATGAGCTTCTACTGTACTTACTGTTCCACTAAAATGTATGTATTTATTTATTTTAATGGGACAGACACATTAAAACATGAATGTAAACATGTCAGATTATTGCCAAAGGCTGATTTCCATCTGTGTCCCACAGGGTCTGGGTCACACTGGTCAAATACAGCAACATCAACAGAAACAAAAGAGGAATAAAACCAAACAAAAAACAGCTTTCATTCCCCCACAGGCCACACTTTAGTCCCCCAAAACCCACAATGTTAGAGTCCACATCATTACCCAACAATTGCACACATACAATTAAAGCACACACCTCGTTATTGCACATGTCACATTATTGCACACCCCGTTATTGCACACATCCTTGCATCGCATGCTCCCCCAACATTATCAATGGTCGCATGTTTGAGACAACCTTAACCACTCTTTTAGGAGACTTTTAAATGAAGTAAAACTAAAGGCGTCTCTTACAGAAGTTGGCAAACTGAACCTCACAATCACCTCGACTCATGGCTCTGGTGGTTCGTGAAGTTGAAGTTTTATATCTAATGTGATTCTTCAGAGGATTCAAGCATTTTTTAATTTGATAAAGTTCTCAAAACTTAATAGTTGTAAAAGAAATTCTTCATAAATGAGAGTTTACTGTATTGTCCTGGTCATCTCCTGGCCACTCCTCCGCCTGGCTGAAGAAGCCCTCCTTCTGTGTGTGTCACATGTGGACCTTCTGTGGTCCTTCTCTCTCGTCTCAAAGACACATTATAATGTTATACATGCTTTACTTCCACACTCTACTGAGCTGTTTATTATCATGAAATGAATAATTGTTCTTTTAACTGTAGAGTCATCCCAGACCTGACTCTGGGAAAAGTGTGTTGTGAGGCTGAGAACAGGACAGACTGAGACCAGGGTCGACTGAGACCAGGGCCGACTGAGACCAGGGCCGACTGAGACCAGGGCCGACTGAGACCAGGGCCGACTGAGACCAGGGCCGACTGAGACCAGGGCCGACTGAGACTAGGACAGACCGAAACCAGGAAAGACCGAGACCAGTGTGTCCAACGACTCGCTTCCATCATTGCTGTGTAGGATGGAATAACTATCTGGACTCTGAACAATCATACATTCACGGTCTGTATTCATACTGAAAATCAAGATCAAGCGAGCTTTTGCCCTTTTGCTCCACGGGAGGTTTCTGTCCTCCCTGAGCTCGCCTTAGGACACCTGCGTTACTGTTTGACAGGTGTACCGCCCCAGTCAAACTCCCCACCTGCCACTGTCCCCACTTAACACCAGAAGCGAGAGCCCGCTCGGAGCTCGCCTCCCCGCCTCACCGGGTAAGTGAAAGAACGATAAACATTACTCACTTAATTTCTTTACTTACAAGACAGATTGAGACCAAGATAGAATGAGACCAGGACAGACTGAGACCGGGATCGACCGGAACCAGGACAGAGCGAGACAAGGACAGAGGCCAGCTGAGATCTTCTGTAATAACTACCTCAGTATAATAACAACTAAACGTCTGTGTGACTCCCTGATAAAACTCCATAGTGTTATACTTTATAAATAGAATAATAACTCCATAATGTTAGCGTGGCTCTGAACAACACTGTAAGGGCCCCTAGTATCACAGTAAAGGCATAAGAACTTGGTGCTGATGGTGCCAGAACAAACTCCTTGTGAGGGAAAAGGGTCAGTTGTTGAAAGTTTTTTATTTCAAACTGCTGCTTAATTGCTGTAGTTTGGCACAGGTTATCTCGGTTCAGAATAGGTTGGTACAGGCCGGCACAGGTTGGCAGCGCTGCGATTGGCCGAGGGTGACGGGGCCTGGATGGACTGCAGCAGGAGATTACCAGACTGTATTTTTGCAGGCTTTATTACTGTACAAATCAAGTAATGTTAAAATGATATTGATTTGTTTGGATCCTGGTTGGCCCCAGCTGTGGCAGTTTCTCCCTGTGTCTGTGGGTTTGCTTCAGGTGCCTTGGTTTCCCCTGTCACTAAACACATGTCCAGGAGGTCTGGCAGTGCCCTCTGTAGGTGACAAATGCCAGTGTAATATAAATAAAGACTTCTTTGTTCATGGGTGTCCAAACTTTTTAGTAAGAGGGCCGCTTTAGTTCACCAGACTATTCCAGGGGCCGACATCATGGACTGAAAAACTGTCATGACTGGCATCAGGCTGTTCTCAGCTTTATGATGATCTATAACAGCTGAAGTTGGCTGAATGACAAATGTTTACCATCTCACCAGCTACGTTAATGGAAGTGACACAATCAAAAACCAGGTCAGTGCAGTATGTACAAAAAATGTCAAGGACGTACTGGGCTTCAGAACAAGGTCTGTGTTGGCTGAGCTGAAGTTGGATGGATGACAAAGTGAACTTGTGTTTATGATCTCAGAGACTGCTTGAGCATGAAAGAGGGCCATATTAAATGACACTGAGAGCCGCAATTGGCCCCCGGGCCTGAGTTTGGACATGCATGTCTTTGTTTGAGTGGTTACTTTCTGTGGGTTCTTTTCAAAACTATTACTGATGTCATCATTTTAAGCAAATGATAAAAGCCTGAAATCCTGGTCCTGGGTCTGGTTCTTATCAGCTCCATTTCCCTTAAGTGTTAGTTTGAGAAATTACTTTTTAATTATTTCACCTAAAACACAGCTGCTACCACTTCCACATGTTTCCATGGTGATGACTTCACCACAAATGCAGAGGAACAGACCCTGACCCTGACCTCTGACCTCTGACCTCTACTACATTGTTTCTGTTCGACATTTACCTTAATACAGTTTAACTTCTTTCAGAAACTGCTCAGGCATCAGCTCCAAAGAAGGGTTGAGGTTAGGGTTAGAGCTAACTTGTAAAAGGTGTGACCTATGACCTATGCCCTGTGGCCTATGACCTATGCCCTCTGACCTATGACCCTTGCCCTATGACCTATGCCCTGTGATCTGTGACCCATGCCCTGTCACCTATGACTTATGCCCTGTGACCTGTGACCGATACCCTGTGATCTATGACCTATGCCCTATGGCCTGTGACCTCTGACCTATGCCTTGTGATCTGTGAGTCTCTAGCTTTCACACCCAGCCTTTTGTGCAGTGACATCACCCCCTGTGTGACCTGAAGAAAAAAAAACAATACAAAGAATGACATCATCTTTAACCTATGACCCTTACTGTAATCATGTGACAAACTGACAAGGAAACCATGGAAACCACAAACTACACACTCTCACTTCCTCATTCACACTCTCACCTCCTCATTCACTCTTTCACCTCCTCATTCACTCTTTCATCTCCTCATTCCCTCTTTCACCTCCTTAATCACTCTCTCACCCTCTGCAGGAGGTGTTCCTCTCTGATCCTCCCCCTCAGAGACACGCCTCCTCATGGACACCTCAGTCACAGGTCCCTGTGACAGGCTTCATTCCTCCTTGCTCTCTTCCCTGACCTGAGCTCCCGCCTCAGCTCTAACCTGAGCTCCCGCCTCAGTTCTAACCTGAGCTTGAACCTCAGCTCTAAGCTGAGCTCTAACCTCAGCTCTCGCCTCAGCTCTCCCCTCCACAGTCATGACTCGTGTGTACTATGGCTTCTCTCGTGTCGCGGCGGCTGCAGAGAACTCCACCGTGGCACTGAACAACGCCGCGGACATCTCTGTCATTGTGGTTTACTTCCTGGTGGTGTTGGCGGTCGGCGTCTGTGTGAGTCCCATTCACCTGTCAATCATTAACTTCTATGATGTGTGAAAGGGCTGCTGTTTCCTTCTGTGGGAATCCCCCCTAACCCTTTCACCCTTACCCACTAACTCTCACTCACTCACCCTCACCCACTCACCCTCACCCACTAACTCTCACCCTTTCCTCCTCACTCACTCACCCTCACCCACTAACCCTCACCCACTCACCCTCACCCACTAACCCTCACCCACTAACCCTCACCCACTAACCCTCACACACTAACCCTCACCCACTAACCCTCACACACTAACCCTCACCCACTAACCCTCACACACTAACCCTCACCCACTAACCCTCACAAACTAACCCTCACCCACTAACCCTCACACACTAACTCTCATTCATTTAATCAAATATAATGATATTTTGCTGAAACAGCAGGAGATGGTCTTGAGGGAGAGTTCTGTAATCGTGCCTCATCTCGAGCTTCTTTCATGAAACTAAAAGTGTTGTTTCAGGCCATGGTTCGGACGAACAGAGCCACGGTCGGAGGCTTCTTCTTGGCCGGCAGGAGCATGGTGTGGTGGCCTGTGGGTATTCACTTCATTCAAACCTATCATCATTAAAGCTGGGGTCTGTAACATTAAGCTGGGGTCTGTAACATTAAAGCTGGGGTCTGTAAATTTAAAGCAGATCTTTCATGAATAATGCAGAAGACAGCATACTGTAACCTGAAAACTTTTTCTGTTGCACAAACAGGAAAGTTAGGTCCCTGAGCTGTAATGCTGTGTTCATGACGTGTGTCGCAGATCGGAGCCTCGCTCTTCGCCAGCAACATCGGCAGCGGACACTTCGTTGGCATCGCGGGCACCGGCGCCGCCGCTGGCATCGCCATTGGGGGCTTCGAGTGGAACGTGAGTCACCTGGTGTCAGTCATCTGGTGTCACTCACGTGGTATAGGTCCTATGGTGTCTCTCACCAGGTATAGGTCCCCTGGTGTCTCTCACCTGGTATAGGTCCCCTGGTGTCTCTCACCTGGTATAGGTCCCCTGGTGTCGCTCACCTGGTATAGGTCCTATGGTGTCTCACACCAGGTATAGGTCCTATGGTGTCTCTCACCAGGTATAGGTCCTATGGTGTCTCTCACCTGGTATGGTGTCTCTTACCTGGTGTCTGTTCCAGGCTCTGATCGTGGTGGTTATTCTGGGATGGATGTTTGTACCGATTTACATCAAAGCTGGGGTAAGTTACACATGTGTGAGTGTGTACAATACAACAACACACATGTGTGAGTTTTTACAACACAACAACATACACGTGTGAGTGTGTACATCAGAAAAACACACACGTGTGAGTGTGTACAACAGAAAAACACACATGTGTGTTTCATTTCAGTTTGTGTTTAGGTCTGTGTTTGTGTGCTCGGGTATGTGTGTGTGTTCAGGTCTCTGTGCGTGTTCAGGTCTGTGTGTGTATGGGTCTCTGTGTGTGTGTATGTGTGGGCAAGTCTGTGTGTGTATGTGTGGGCAGGTCTGTGTGTGTGTATGTGTGGGCAGGTCTGTGTGTATGTGTGTTCAGGTCTGTGTGTGTATGTGTGGGCAGGTCTGTGTGTGTATGTGTGTTCAGGTCTGTGTGTGTATGGGTCTCTGTGTGTGTGTATGTGTGGGCAAGTCTGTGTGTGTATGTGTGGGCAGGTCTGTGTGTGTGTATGTGTGGGCAGGTCTGTGTGTGTGTATGTGTGGGCAGGTCTGTATGTGTATGTGTGTTCAGGTCTGTGTGTGTATGTGTGGGCAGGTCTGTGTGTGTGTATGTGTGGGCAGGTCTGTGTGTGTGTATGTGTGGGCAGGTCTGTATGTGTATGTGTGTTCAGGTCTGTGTGTGTATGTGTGGGCAGGTCTGTGTGTGTGTATGTGTGGGCAGGTCTGTGTGTGTGTATGTGTGGGCAGGTCTGTATGTGTATGTGTGTTCAGGTCTGTGTGTGTATGTGTGGGCAGGTCTGTGTGTTGAGGTCTCTTTGTGTTCAGGTCTGTGTGTGTATGTGTGGGCAGGTCTGTGTGTGTATGTGTGTTCAGGTCTGTGTGTGTATGTGTGTTCAGGATCTGTGTGTGTATGTGTGTTCAGGTCTGTGTGTGTATGTGTGTTCAGGATCTGTGTGTGTATGTGTGTTCAGGTCTGTGTGTTGAGGTCTCTCTGTGTTCAGGTGGTGACGATGCCTGAGTATCTAAAGAAGCGTTTTGGAGGTCAGAGGATCCGCATGTATCTGTCGCTGCTGTCGCTCTGTCTGTATGTGTTCACCAAGATCTCTGTGAGTCACTGCATTGAACACACACATGTATGACAACACACACATGTATGACATGTACTGAACACACACATGTATGACATGTACTGAACACACACATGTATAACATGTACTGAACACACACATGTATGACATGTACTGAACACACACATGTATGACATGTACTGAACACACACATGTATGACATGTACTGAACACACACATGTATGACATGTACTGAACACACACATGTATGACATGTACTGAACACACACATGTATGACATGTACTGAACACTCACATGTATAACATGTACTGAAAACACACATATGTAACATGTTTCTCATGAACACACACACATATGTAACATGTTTCTCATGAACACACACATACAGTATGTAACATGTTTTTCCTGACAGGCCGACATGTTTTCTGGAGCCATCTTCATAAACCAGGCTCTGGGTCTGAACATCTACCTCGCGGTGATTGCGCTGCTCGCCATCACCGCGCTCTACACCGTCACAGGTCAGTGGTCACAGGTCAGGGTTGGGGGTTGGGGTTGGTGCCCTTGAGCTTGACATGGATCATTCTGGGTTGGAGTCATACCACCTTGTTTTGTTGACGGTTATTGGCCTTATGTTTGAGCAGTTAATCTGCCGTGAGGCTGATAAGATGCTGTCGTCAAGGCAACACAGCTGACTGTAGCAACAATAAATGTTCTAACCCTCAACCTGAGGTTCTACACCAGGGTGAGGGCCAAGTAACACTGAGTGATACGATAGAAACTAATATTCCAATGTGTAATGTCTTGCTCTATAAAGTACTGTGTGTGTTTGTGTGTGTGTGTGTGTGTGTGTGTGTCTATTTGTGTGTATCTCTGTGTGTGTTGCAGGCGGATTAGCTGCAGTGATCTACACAGATACTCTACAGACCATCATCATGGTTGTTGGCTCCTTCATCCTCATGGGGTTTGGTGAGAGTCTAAACCTTCTGGTCCCTCATGATGGTCCCTCATGATGGAGAGTTCCCTCATGATGGTCCTTCATGGTTCTTGATGTTGTGTACAGCCTTTGATAAGGTGGGGGGGTATGAGAGCTTCCAGCAGCGGTACATGAACGCAGTACCGTCTATCACCACCAACATCAGCGCTGAATGCTTCGAGCCTCGAGCCGATTCCTTCCACATCTTCAGAGACGCCGTCACCGGAGACCTGCCCTGGCCCGGCCTGGTGTTCGGACTCACCATCCAGGCCACATGGTACTGGTGCACTGACCAGGTATGCTTCACACACACACACACACACACACACACACACACACACACACACACACACACACACACACACACACACACACACACACACACACACACACACACACACACACACACACACAATACGGGTTCACAGGTCTTGAGAATAGCAATGAAAAGACTACAGTCAAAATCCTGATAATGCAGACGGATAATATTTAGACTAAACCAGACTAAATTCACGTGGGCTACCCAGAAATTTTCCCCATAGAACTCAATGTAAACTAAAACAGCTCGACCTCAGCTGACAGAGAACCTACAGCTTTCATAAAGGTCGGATTTTGTGGGGATTTTAGTGTCCCTTGTCATCCTGAACTTTTTTTCTTCTTAAATCCTTCGGTTTTCTTTAAATCCACACTTTAGTGCCACAAACCCTGCCCATCTGGCTCCCGCTCTAGCTCCGCTCTGATCAGCAGTTCTGATTGGTCAGAGCGCGGCCGAGCCTCTCTGTGCACGTGCATGAGAGCCACACACATGTATATTTGGCGCAGAACTGGGAGGACCAGACAATGCCCAAATATAGTGATTGATATGGCGAGTTTCGCTAATATGTCAGCGACCGTGCCGGCACATGCGCCACTGAGCACAAACCATTCATTTAAATACGCCGCCATCTTGGATCGCCGGGGCTTGATATACCCTCAAAAATGTCCAGTGACGTGTGCTGACATGCTTGCAATACCACCCCGGGCCAGTCGGGGTGGATGCGGAATAAGAATTATTCAATGCTAATGTAAAGCATCTTCTTATGTACTTCTCAAAAAAGGCTTCACAGGAATGTCAAAAAGTCGCTCTTGGCCTAACGCTGTCAATGCTGAGGGGAGTAGAGTTTTTTTGGACCAAGTTTTTGTCTAGTTTAGTCACAGGGGAACTTTGAAAGCACTCGTTAAATGAATGCTTGTGCAGCTGACGCAAATGCATTTTTTCAAATTTTTCAGCCCCGCGGCCATTTTGAAAATGCACATAGACAGCGGAAGTGGTGGCACATTAGTTTGAGCAGCGTAGATAGGCGTGACTACATCCGTTCATATTTACAGTCTATCGTATATACATACACACAAATACACATATACAAATACATACAGACACTTATACATATTAACACATGTACACATACACACACCCACACACATACATACATATGTCGGAGTCTCTCTCATGTTAAAGTGTGTGTGTGTGTTGTGTGTCATCAGGTGATTGTGCAGCGGTGTCTCTCTGCTAAGAGTCTCTCCCATGTTAAAGGAGGGTGTATTCTGTGTGGATATCTGAAGCTGCTGCCGATGTTCCTCATGGTGTTTCCAGGGATGATCAGCCGCATCCTGTACCCAGGTCTGCCCCAGCACTTTACACACAGCACTTCACACCACACTCGTAAGCACATTCCTGTAAAGTGTCTGTTAACTTGCTTGTAAAGTGGCTGTAAAGTGCATGTAACGTGCCTGTAAAGTGCTTGCAAAGCGCTTGTAATGTGGCTGTAAAGTGCATGTATAGGGCCTGTAAAGTGCTTGTCATGTGCCCTGTAAAGTGCTTGTAAAGTGCTCATAAAGTGCTCATTAAGTGCTCGTAAAGTTCTTGTAAAGTTGCTTTAAAGTGCTTGTAAAGTGCTCGTAATGTTCCCTGTAAAGCGCTTGTAAAGTGCTCATAAAGTGCTTGTAAAGTACTCGTAAAGTGCTTGTTTGCAGATGAAGTGGCCTGTGTGGATCCTGCAGAGTGTATAAAACACTGTGGAGCGAGTGTCGGCTGCACCAACATCGCGTATCCAAAACTAGTGGTCGACCTGATGCCGAACGGTGAGTGTGTCTCCTCCTCCTGCAGTGTTTCTCCTCCTCCTGCAGTGAACTGAGGCTGTGTTTCTCCTCCTCCTGCAGTGACCTAAGGCTGTGTTTCTCCTCCTCCTGCAGTGACCTAAGGCTGTGTTTCTCCTCCTCCTCCTGCAGTGACCTGAGGCTGTGTTTCTCCTCCTCCTCCTGCTGTGACCTGAGGCTGTGTTTCTCCTCCTCCTGCAGTGACCTGAGGCTGTGTTTCTCCTCCTCCTGCAGTGACCTGAGGCTGTGTTTCTCCTCCTCCTGCTGTGACCTGAGGCTGTGTTTCTCCTCCTCCTCCTGCAGTGACCTGAGGCTGTGTTTCTCCACCTCCTCCTGCAGTGACCTGAGGCTGTGTTTCTCCTCCTCCTGCAGTGACCTGAGGCTGTGTTTCTCCTCCTCCTCCTGCAGTGACCTGAGGCTGTATTTCTCCTCCAGGCCTGCAGTGACCTGAGGCTGTGTTTCCACTCCAGGCCTGCAGTGACCTGAGGCTGTGTTTCCCCTCCAGGCCTGGAATGACCTGAGGCTGTGTTTCCCCTCCAGGCCTGCGGGGGCTGATGTTGTCGGTGATGATGGCGTCGCTGATGAGTTCTCTGACGTCTATCTTTAACAGCGCCTCGACACTCTTCACGATGGACGTTTACACACGACTGCGGCGCAGGGCGAGCGAGAGGGAGCTGATGGTGGCGGGCCGGTAACTATAACAAGTACTCGAGTACATGGTTACAGTACTGCAATGAGAGCTGGTCATGCTGGTCTCCTCTGTAGGGTCTTCATCCTGGGGCTCATCGGAGTGAGTATTGCCTGGATCCCTGTGGTGCAGAACGCTCAGAGTGGGCAGCTCTTCGACTACATTCAGTCCATCACCAGTTTCCTGACGCCTCCTGTGGCCGCCGTCTTCATGCTCGCCATCTTCTGCAAACGTGTCAATGAACCAGTGAGTGACACATTAACAAACACTATTTTTTCCTCACAAGCTAATCAGTAACAGACTCAGGGTCTGTGTGCGATAATTATTGAAGAAAGTGCCACCTGGATAGAATATTTACAGGCAGCAATAATACAAAGTAAGTTTCAGTTAAAAAGGATTAAAAGAACCAGAGAGAGACCAGAGAGAGACAGGACAGAGACCAGAGAGAGACCAGAGAGATACAGGAGAGAGACCAAAGAGAGACCAGAGAGAGACCAGAGAGAGACCAGAGTTAGACCAGAGAGAGACCAGAAAGACAAGAGAGACCATAGAAAGACCAGAAAGACCAGAGAGAGAACAAAGAGAGACAGGAGAGAGACCAACGTGAAGACTACAGAGTTCGTCCTGCTGCTCAACTAAACTGTTTCACGTCATTTAACACATGTTCCTTAGCAGGAAAGAGCCTTTCTCCCTTTGCATGTTCTCCCTATGCTTGTGGATAGGGTTTGCTCCAGGTCCTCCGGTTTCCCTCCCAGTGTATCAGGCACAATAGGTCTGAGTGTGGTGTCTTTCAGGGGGCGTTCTACGGCCTGACCATCGGCCTGGCCATCGGGCTGTCCAGGATGATCGCAGAGTTTGTTTACGGAACTGGGAGCTGTGTGACCCCAAGCAACTGCCCCACCATCATTTGTGGGGTCCACTACCTCTACTTCAGCATCATCCTCTTCTCTGTGTCCTGCCTCCTCATCTTCGGCATCTCCCTCGTGACCAAGCCCATCCCAGACAAGCATGTATGTGACGCTGACCTCTAATCCCCGTTCCCTGACCCTGACCTGTCCCTTTGTTTTCAGTTGTACCGACTTTGCTGGAGTCTCCGGAACAGCACAGAGGAGCGAGTGGACATTGAAGACGACGACTGGAACGAGAACAGAGAGGAAAACCGAGAAACAAAGGAGAAGGACGACGGTGAGTTTGGGGGTCACCTTGACCATGACTATGACAAGACCTCCAACCCCTGATCATGACCCCTGACCCCTGATCATGATCCCTGAACCCTGACGCAGACCTTGGTTACTGCTGAGGTGGGAGACCTCTGAACACCAGATGCCACAGTGGGGCGTCTACAAAGGGCCAACTGTTGTTGTGTCCTGAGGCAAGACACTGAATGATAATGGTACTGGAGAAAGATGGCTCAGATGGGTGGCCTCTCTTCCATCAGTCTGCCGCCAGGACGGTTGTGGCCACAGCTGTCCTGAAACACCACTTTAACACAACAATATGTTTGTCTTTTCAACAGAAGAAGAGAAGAAGCCTGGTTTGTGCAAGAGAGTGGTGTTGGGCTTCTGTGGCCTGGAGCAGAAGGAGGTGGTGACACTGAGCCCTGAGGAAGAGGAGGAGATGAAGAGGAAGCTCACAGACACCTCTGAGGTTCCTCTGTGGAGGAACGTGGCCAACGCCAACGCACTCATCCTGCTCTGCGTCGCCGTCTTCTTCCACGGATTCTACGCATAAATCCAAAGGCTCCTTCAAAACGACTTGACAACCCTAACCACCTCCTGAACCTCTCCTGAACATCTCCTGAACCTCTCCTGATCACCTCCTGATCACCTCCTGAACCTCTCCTGAACAACTCCTGAACCTCTCCTGATCACCTCCTGAACACCTCCTGAACCTCTCCTGATCACCTCCTGAACAACTCCTGAACACCTCCTGAACACCTCCTGAACACCTCCTGAACCTCTCCTGATCACCTCCTGAACCTCTCCTGATCACCTGAACCTCTCCTGATCACCTCCTGAACATCTCCCAAACACCTCCTGAACATCTCCCAAAAACCTTCTGAACACCTCCTGAACACCTCCTGAACAACTCCTGAACAACTCCTGAACACCTCCTGAACACCTCCTGAACACCTCCTGAACAACTCCTGAACAACTCCTGAAGACCTCCTGAACACCTCCTGAACAACTCCTGAACAACTCCTGAACAACTCCTGAACACCTCCTGAACACCTCCTGAACCTCTCCTGATCATCTCCCGAACACCTCCTGAACATCTCCTGATCATCTCCTGAACAACTCCTGAACAACTCCTGATCATCTCCTGAACAACTCCTGAACAACTCCTGAACACCTCCTGATCATCTCCTGAACACCTCCTGATTTCAGTAATTTGTCTTTTAATAAGAATCATAAACTTTACTGATCAGTCGTCAATGCTCCATTTTCTAAATCAAAAACTAAACATTTAAAGCAACAAAAAGATCCTTCAGAGCTGAGCTCTTCAGAACTCCTGCTTCTTGCTTTTATTACTTCACTGAGTGGAATAAGTCGCACTCCTCCTGGACCTCCTCCTACCTCAGGACCTCTTCCTACTCCTGGACCTCCTCCTGCTCCGGGCCCCTCCTGCTCCAGGCCCCTCCTGCTCCGGGCCCCTCCTGCTCCTGGGCCGCCTTCTACACCGAATAAATATAGTCCTGTTGATGCTAATTGTTCCATTTTAAAATTTGACATTGAATCATGTGATAATATTTATAGCTATTATTGAAAAACTCGTTTTTGTTTAATTCCTAAAATAAACTGTGTTGACAAAAATATTCTTGTAATTAACTGTGAGTCAGTTGGGGACAGATGTCAGAGGTTAATGATGATATAATAATATAATAAGGATGATCATATTGTTTATATCTTGTTCCAAAGCAGTGGAAGCCTGTATGGCACTTTCGGCCTTTGACTCCTGAGACTAATAGTTTTAGTGCTGCTTCTGATCAGATCCAAAGTCCAGAGTCTGTAAATGTTTTATTTCAGGTTCACAACAAAAGAACACACAAACTAAAGACCTTCCATCTGAAGCTTTTCCCTTCATATTTATTCCTAAACACTTTTAAATAATGTTGTGCATTGTGAGTCATAATCACAACAAAACAACAAAAACATTTACAGCTGGAATCATGAATAGAATGTTTGAAATATTAATAATATATTAATATAATACATTTTATAAATAGTTAAAATAGAAAAGAAACTCTAAAATCTCTTGAGTTGGAGCCATGCATCATGGTTGGAGCTGGTCTTGCTCCCCTACAGGACACAACAGCATCACTGAGTGAGGCCCATCCAAGCCCCGGCGATCCAAGATGGCGCCCTATTCAAATGAATGGTTGCGCTCAGTGGCGCTTTGTGACGGCATGGGGGCTGAAAGATTAGCGGAAGTCGCATGAAACTCGCAAAGATCTATGGGAAACTCGCCTGTATTTGGGCATCGTCTGGTCCTCCCGGTTCTGCGCAGTGGATGATCTCCCATAATGCGTTGCGCCAAACACGCGTGTGTGGGTCTCACACCGGGGCTCACGCACGTGCACAGAGGGGCTCGGCCGCTCTGACCAATCAGAGCAGTTCATCAGAGCGGGAGTTAGAGCGAGAGCCAGACAAGCAGAGTTTGTGGCACTAAAGTGTGGATTTAAACAAAACCAAAGGATTTAAGAAGAAAAAAAGTTCAGGATGACAAGGGACACTAAAATCCCCACAAAATCCGATCTTTATTAAAGCTGTAGGTTCTCTGTTAGCTGAGGTTGAGCTGTTTTAATATGCATTGAGTTCTATGGGGAAAATTTGTGGGTAGCCCACGTGAATTTAGTCTGGTTCAGTCTGCAGTACCGCGAGAATCCCCTGAGCACATGAGTTATTCAGCTACAAGCTAGTAATACCCTATCCAGTTAATATAATACATCCATGGGCCCATCACCTTCATTAGGCCCCTCCCCTCTGTAAGGCCCCTCCTCTCTGTGAGGCCCCTCCCCTTCCTGAGGCCCCTCCTCTCTGTGAGGCCCCACCCCTCCGTTAGTCCTCTGTTTGATGGAGCTCACTTTAAACCTGGACTTGAATATTTTCAAGTCAGGTTCCAGGACAGTGGTGCTTAAGCCCCAAGTGATGATGAAGGCCCTCGCTCTCTCTCTCACCAAGACAAGGCAAGTTTATTTGTATAGCATAATTTCTTACACAAGGAAACTCAAAGTGCTGCTGTGAATAATTACAGCACGATAAAAAGAGTAAAGATACAACCCCACAGTTGTAGCACAGCTAAACAGAACAGTTTAACCTGGATTTGAAAACTGCTAGAGAAGAAGCCTGTCTCACATCTTCAGTAAGACAGTTCCAGATTTTAGGTGCATGAATCTGAAACACTGCCTCCTCATGTTTAGTCCTGACTCTGGGACCAGGAGGAGGCCAGTCCCTGTGCTCCTCAGAGTCCCAGCAGGAGGCCAGTCCCTGTGGTCCTCCGAGTCCCAGCAGGAGGCCAGTCCCTGTGCTCCTCAGAGTCCCAGCAGGAGGCCAGTCCCTGTGCTCCTCCGAATCCCAGGAGGAGGCTAGTCCCTGTGCTCCTCAGAGTCCCAGCAGGAGGCCAGTCCCTGTGCTCATCAGATTCCCAGCAGGAGGCCAGTCCCTGTGGTCCTCCGAGTCCCAGCAGGAGGCCAGTCCCTGTGCTCCTCCGAATCCCAGGAGGAGGCTAGTCCCTGTGCTCCTCAGAGTCCCAGCAGGAGGCCAGTCCATGTGCTCATCAGATTCCCAGCAGGAGGCCAGTCCCTGTGCTCATCAGAGTGCACAGAGCCGATGGGGGTCGACCCGGAATAAGAATCACCCATTGCTTTTGTATGGTGCCTTCTTTCTTCTCGAAAATGTCTTCACAGGTTGGTTCCAGATGCTCTCATTGCTGAGGGGAGTGTAATTTTTGGAGCAGTCTAGTTCAGCCGCTGTAAGTAGTAAGTAAGTAAGTAAATTTTATTTATAGAGCACCTTTCACAGATAAAAATCACAAAGTGCTGTACAGGGTAAAAGCAAATAAGTAAATACAATGGAAATAAGACAACAACAAAAACAAAAAAAAGAAACTAACTAAAAGCTGCCCTAAAAAGAAGTGTCTTTAGTCCCTTTTTAAAAGCATCGACAGAGTTGACCACACGGAGGGACAGAGGCAGAGCGTTCCACAGTCTGGGGGCAACGGACTGGAAGGACCGGTCCCCCCGGGTCTTATAGCGGGTCTTTGGGACCGCAAGTAAATTCTGGCCCGTGGACCTGAGAGTGCGGCCAGAATAGTGTGGGGTCAAGAGGTCCGAGATATAAACGGGAGCCTGACCATTTAAGGCTCTGAAAGTTAAAACCAAAATTTTAAAATCAATACGTAAATTGATTGGGAGCCAATGAAGTGAGGACAGGACTGGGGTGATGTGAGACCACCGGGGGCTTCCTGTTAAAAGTCTGGCAGCGGAGTTTTGCACAATTTGTAGTCTGTTAAGAGCACTCTTATTAAGACAAGTAAACAATGAATTGCAATAGTCAAGACGTGTGGAAACAAAGGCATGAAGGAGCATCTCCAAGTCCTTCTGCGACAATATTTTCCGGATTTTAGATATGTTTCTGAGATGATAAAAGCAGTTTCTGACGAGCTGTTTGCAGTGTGTGTCCAGATTTAGGGCCTGATCAAAAACAACCCCCAGGTTTCTGAGGGGGGATGTGACAGAGGAACCAAGTGAACCAAGGTGCTGTTTGATGTCTTGAATCTTATTGTCAGGAGCAAAAATCAGGGTTTCGGTCTTGTTAGAATTAAGCTGCAGATAATTTGTGGTTAACCAGCCTTTGATCTCGGACACACACTCTAAGAACTGGGAGATAAGGTGAAATTCAGTGTCTTTAAAAGAGCAATACAGTTGGACATCATCAGCATAGAGATGATAAGATACATTCTTAAAACGATCGATAATTTTCCCAAGAGGTAAGAGGTATAATAAAAACAATAAAGGGCCCAGAACAGACCCTTGGGCAACACCATAAGAAAGTTGAGACACATCAGACACAATATCATTCACTGCAACATTGAAAGTTCTTCCACAAATATATGATGTGAACCATTTAAGGACACAACCAGAGAAACCCATCGTCTTTTCAAGGCGATTTATCATAATACTGTGATCCACAGTGTCAAAAGCAGAGGTCAGATCTAGCAAAACCAATATTGTATAGCGACCAGAATCTGCCGCCATCAACACGTCGTTAGAAACTTTAACAAGTGCAGTTTCTGTGGAGTGCAGCTTTCGAAAACCAGACTGAAAAGAGTCAAACAGATTGTGTTGCTCCATGAATGTGGTTAGCTGGTTTGCAACAACTTTCTCCAAGATTTTAGCAACAAACGGGAGTTTCGATATAGGTCTGTAGTTTTTTGGCTCTGAGGGGTCAAGATTGGGCTTTTTCAGAGTGGGGCTTACAACAGCATGTTTAAAATAGCTGGGGACAGTGCCAGACTCTAAGGATAGATTAAACAGTTGCACCAGACAGGGGCCAAAGACTTCAAGCTTTTTTAAAAGCAAGGATGTAGGAATAATATCAGCAGGACTCGATGATAGTTTCATTTTGCTCACGACAGCCTCCATCTCCTGTAGGCTGACTGGAGTAAAGGCTGACCAGGAGCACACCTGAGTGACCTCAGACGCACAGACATCAATAAGTGACGGGTTTATACTCGCTCTGATGTCCTCTACTTTGTTCACAAAAAAGTTTAGAAAGTTATTACAGTCCTCTTGTGAGTGCACGGGCACAAGAGGGGCCAAGGGTGCCATAAGACGTTCAATGGAGTCAAAGAGAACTTTTGGGTTTCTCTTATTACAAGAAATGAGGTTTGAAAAATAAGTTGAGCGAGCGAGCTTTATCTTCCCATTTAGCTCAAGCATCATCTCTTTAAGGTGGAGTCTGTGCACTTCTAATTTTGTGGATTTAAACAGGCGTTCCACTTTCCGGCACTCTCTCCTAAAGCTGCAGATATCCTCATTTAGCCATGGAGCAGGTTTATTCTGTGAACCAGACACCTTTTTAACAGGTGCCACAGTATCCAACACAGACAGGCAGTGACTGTTAAAGCTTGTTAAAAATGTTTCCACATCATCATTACAATCAACAAAAGGGCTAAGGTCAAGAGAAACAACAAACCTATCACATGTAGCTTCATTTATAAAGCGTTTTGTGATCGCAGTATTGCGGACGACAGGCTCCACTCTAGATGACACAT